TATTGTTGAAACAATGATTCATGTTTAACTCCATATATGAAATGTTTCTGATCTTTGAATTCTGTTTGATTAAAGACTTTCTTCATGACACAAATGAGATTTTAGTGTATTAATAGAACTAAATAAGATCAGAGGTGAAAGGCTGGAGTATTATGTACGTGCTTCACTGTCAGTATCTTCAGGGGGATTCAAAGTCATGAGATAAACTAGTGTAGATAAAAATATCTGAGCTTCATTTAGTATCAAAGCAGAGCGTGTTGTCCAGCCGGAGGAAGGTCTCCGACTGCTTCATATGGAAACATCAGCATGAAGTTTGATGGAGCTCGTTTCAGCAGCTAGTTTTTCCTTCATTTGCAGCAGAAGAAGAACTGAAAGTGTGTGTGTGGATTCAGAGCGCTCGCTGTCAGGACAAATAAAGGGCAAGAGATTTAAAGGAGCAAAGTGCTGTTTTTAGAGCTTTAAAGAGAAACCACATTTCCAGTGTGAATCCTGAAAACTTCACATGATGACATGAACCTGCATTCACAATAAATTCCTGTATGCTTTAATAAAGCGTCTGAGGAGAAAATCAATCTCATTTTCATTTCTTTTCACCCTGCTGTCAGTCTCATTCTCAACACTCAAACGCACAAAAAGATTGACGTCTTTATGTCTTTCATTTGTTATATTCATATCATTTCATTTGTTATATTATTATTATTATTATTATTATTATTTTTTGTGAACGAGCACATAAATATTTGCTAAAAATAAAAAGATTCTTCCAATAACTGAATGAAGAACAAATCAATCTATTTTAAAGTGTCATTAAAAAAAACAGTTCAAAGCAGGAAATAAAGTGTCTGTTCACAGCACCAACAAAGCAAGTCTTTACAAATAAATTTGCTCCACCATTTACCTTCATGCTGTACAACCACTGCCAGACGATTTAGACCCCACTGTGTCATTTTCAGCTGTGGATCACCACACAGATGCTCAAAGTGATTTGATAGAAACCTCGATCCACAATGAAATCCTCGCCACAGAATCTCAGCCATCTCTTCTTCCTTCTTTTCTGGGAAAACCATAAAACTTTACATTACACTCTGCATTTTTCAGGGTAAAGTCCTCCACTGATATCTAACACACTGATGACTGTTTTATCACTACATCCACTTTGACCTTTGACCTACTTCAGTTTTTTTGTGTGGAAAGTATCATCATCATCGTTATTTTGACCTTTGGCTTATTTCATTTGACATATTATGTGTGAAGAGTATCATTATTGACTCCACAGTCTTTAGTTATTCAGTGTGTTTATTAAAATCAAAGGTGTGTGAGCAGCTCAGTTATACCAAATGAACATAATCTCTTTGTGTGTGTGTAATAATTACATTACTATTAATGTAACTACTATAATTAATAATTATTACATAGTTGTCTTTTTTATGTCTTATTTTCTAAAGAAAACGACTTTGTCTAAAAAATTAACTACAAATTGATCTAGTTGAAATTTTAACTTTATTAAGGGGTGGTGATTGCTCAATTTATGCAAAGATTTTGAAATATTTTAATCCATGTGTCCAAATACCAAAAACATTGTCCAAATACCGTAAAATAAATTAGTGGTAATTTATTGCAATTTTTTAAAATTGTCGTTTCCCAGTGGGACGTATAAATATCCGCCTAGTACACAACCTGAGATTTGGAGAAAAAAGGAATCCTCAAATTGAAAATCATTTCTAGTCAAAGTTCATTTTAATAATTTTAAAATTTTATCATCAGAACGTGTAAAATTCATATTTTATTTAAATATTTTATCCACTGCCAATAAGCCCAACCTTGTGTCTATGTTGGTACAGAGGAACTCCACATCCATTGTAAAAAGTAAGGCGTTACATGGATCATTCACATCTTTCAATTTGTCAATAAAGTCATATGTATCTTTCACATAACTAGGGTGCATTAAAGGGATGAGACAAGGAATTTAGAAAAGACTCTATATGCTGTAATCCTGAATGATTCAGAGTCACAATCACTAACAATAGGCATTTTAAATGGAACAGACAAGGTTTCTGGAGATTTATGAATCTTAGGTGAAAGATAAAATTGGCAAGGATGAGGAAAAATCAGAGCAGACAGATATTTTTCCTGAGACTTGGAAATATAACCCTCTTCTTTCAACTCCCTCACAATACTTCTGACAAGATTCTGAGTCTCTTTCACCTTCTTTTCAACACAACAGGTGCAGTTTAGTGCATTACTGCCTCCTGCTGGAACACTTGTTAGTGAATCACTTAAACCATTACATTGAAAAAAAAAGATTGAGTTTTGCTTTGACGCCAAGACAAATGCCGCTAGTGGAACTGATCACAATCAAGTGTGTTTGCTTTTGGAACTGTGTCTTCATTCCACCTACTTCACATACAAGGGTCAGTTCTACAGGCATAAACATGGGTGTGCAATGAGTTCCCCAGTTTCACCCATCGTGGCCAATTTGTACAATGGCCAATTTTTTTTCTGCTCTTGCTCTTGACGAAGGCGGTCGCACTTTTCTCCTCTCCTCTGTCCTTGTCTAGTCTCGTGTTTTTTGTATTACTTTTCCCTGGAACACTCTCTCACAGTCTGTTCTCTAAAATCTAAAAGAGGAATTATGGATTTGATCAACTGGTCCCTGAATGCAATTGACACCCCTTTCTCAACGAGAAGTTTGGGCTTGGGTGAGCCTGAGTGCTGAAGATATCTACCTATTCGGAACCATGGTAACAGGGTTCTTGCTGATTGGAGCTGGCTTGGCCCTGACTTATCGAAGAATTAAGAAAGTGGAACCGGCTGTTCAAACC